AGAAATAAATCAATACTTCAGGAGTGGAGGGCTCAAATGAAACAGAGTTTTGAGGGCACAGCAGAGGACAGTGAAGGATACATGGGAGGGAGACAGGACAGAGAAGATGGAATCAATCATTTTAATCAATGAGAAAGGAGGCGAGCAACAGGTAAGTAAACACAATGCACTAACAGCTACAAGCGAATCAGAGAGTTGAGACTGCAACGGTAATGGCTTTGGATCTTCAGTCATATTTGCCTGAATTCTGGCAATTACTAGCCCCACTGTAGCTGTAGGCGGGGATGCATAATGGCAGATTGTATTACAGAGCAGAGGCAGTGTGGCATTGCTAATGGCCGATCAATAGTGTAGCTGTTGGAGACCCAGGCTGTTTTATGATTTCAAATTAGCACCGCAAGAATGAATTGCTGCTCTGCAACAAATGACAAAAACAACCTCATTCAACAGTCTGCACAGCCGAGTGGACGTGGAGAAAGTGTGCTGGGCGCATGCAATTCTACAATATATGTCTTTGTTGGACACGGTTAATGTGCAACGCTGAAAAGCACAGGGGGAATAGAAAACCCCAAATCCTGCAGATGGGAGAAACTATTTATTTGGGTTCTCATCCAATCCAAAATGTGATCACTGAGCGAGTTTTCAGTAAAGTATGAGCAATCTTATGTGTCTAACTATGTATTTAAGCTGCCCTGATTATCTCGCTCAGCATTCACATTTCTTTCCAATGAAAACAAAAGAAAGTTATGCCGTGTTTAGCTCAGAGCTGCACAGATCTGCTGCTATCTCCCCCTTTCAACACTGTCACCCTCCGTCAAAGAGGACATGGAACGTATTTTGAGCCTTTACTGTGAAATGTTTAAATGCTTTAATGTTCGAAAAGCCTTTTATTTTTCACATACTGCCCAGACTGAGACTTCCTCCAACAAATGCACGTGCTGCAGCTCAATGTTTACAGAGAAATAGTAATTAAAGGCTTGAAAATGTGTCTACCAAATATACTAACACCCCGTTTTCAATCCTAAATGAAATATGGACAGTGTGAATACTCACGGTTTGCCCCCAGAGGAACCAGGCAGAGAGGAGGACAGCCCCGGGGCCCTCAGGTGAGACCGAGACTCATACGCCACCTGGAGGAGACAAAAGAGTGGACGAATAATTAACAGCTTTACACAGACTGACTTAAAGAGGACAAACTGTATGATGGTCATGTTTAGGTGAGTATAAGTTATTTGGGTTTCCACTATAACTTGTTCACATGCCTTTATGTTAAAAAAAAAATACATTTATTTTGTCTGAAAAAACCATTTTTAGCATCTTTCAGAAAGACTTAATTTTGAGCCTGTCTCTTTAAGTTCCTCTGTTAAAAAAGCCTAGTCTGCTCTGATAGGCTTGAGAAAATATGGTTCACCTTTGCAGAGGTAGTTTTCAAGCAGTCAGTGAGATAGGGATGTACATTTGAATAAACCTACATGTGACTTAGGAAGTGGAGCCAAATATGAATGGCACTACCCAAATGTATGTGCATAAAAAGTTTTTTTACATGTCCTCTTTAGAAAGGCGTGGATTTGCAATAGCTTCAACCATTGTACAGACATGTATCCACATGTTCATGCATTCAAGTCTGATAACGTGACATACACTTGATCTGATTGCAAAATGTCAACCTCCAAAGGCGTAAACCGCCACCACGAAAGGGTTTGGACATTTTTGTTTAAAATGCAGCTGATTTATGGGCAACATTAATTAAATGTGTAGCACGTACAGGCAAAACATATGTAAAAATGATCCAACTGAATTTATTTTAAGTTGAAGTAAAAATGTAATGTTATCCCAAAAATGACTCAGCATTAAAACAACGGGCTGACTGCAGTCTGAAACTCTGAAGTGTGTGCATATTACTGTGCTGACACTAATGTGTGATGTTATGAGCATACGGCCCCATTCCCCCAGACTGATGACAGGGTGGTGAAGGGGCACCGCAGTGTGCATCCTGCCTTAGGCTGGGTCTTCTGGGAGCTAAATACTGTAGCTACAGTAACGCCAGGCCACATCAACAAACATGTTACTACAAGTCGGCCATAAGAGACTGTAAACACTGGGATTTAACGGCTGAGGCTGCTTCCTGTTGTTTACGTTCATATTTGCCATGCTGGACGGTGAAATGAGAATGAATTAACTGAATTAACTGTTGAAGAAAGTATTTTTCATGAGTCCTACACAGATTTGCATTTGTGAGTCTTATCAATTACAAAACTTCTCGCCATGACTGTCCCTTTCTATCAAAATGAATAAGTTAATGTAAGCATGATAACTTTAATCATGTAATGAATGCTCTACCTGACAACACAGGACACATTGAGCTTTTTTAACTGTCAGAGGGTACAAACAAACTAATGAGGGTATAGAACTGAGGCTGAACTATAAATCAAACCTTGACTTAGAGTAACCATTTGTCCTTAACTCACCATGGGGCTGCGGGAGTAGGCGTTGGCTGCAGCGCTGATCTGTGGAGAGAGAGTCAGAGCCCCCCCGAAGCCTCCCGGGCTGGCCAGCTCTCCGTTCAGTCCTGCGTGGGACACCACGCCAAAATGAGCTGGGTATGAACCGGGGGGCACAGACATGGGACTGCGGAGAGCTGGGGAGGGAGGGAAAGAGGAAGGAGGGGATGAAGGAAGGAGGAGAAACACTACAGGGAATCTAAACACAATCACAGAGGGTTTTCTTTATTACATTTGAGTTGTTGCGCTATCAGGTAAAACAATGGTTTTCATTGCTGGCCACAGGAGCAGAGAGCTGTTGAGACTTGCTCAAGAGTCCAATGATACATCTGGATCTCTATAGTTAGAGTCACTGTATTTTGAGGCTTTGTGTATTTAAAATATCAGGCCCAAGGGGAGGCATTTTGTTTAACTTTGCACTGACAAAAAACAAGATATTTTGGGAGGAAAAGCGTAAACTGCATGAATGTTCAGCAGTAATTTCACACCATAAACAATCAGGAAAAGGGGAAACTGGGGGACAAAGGGATGTAGGGCATGAAGGCCAGAGGAATACTCGGAGCAAATCCCATTCTTGCCATGACAGTTCAATTCAAAGAGCTTTCGTTCAGTTTAAAACATATGAAAAAGAGCTCAAGTGGAGCAGCTAAATGAAAAGTTATGAGTAAGGCTAAAGCTTTCTCCACTATGTAATGATGTATGAAATCATATCACCATTTGAAGTTGGCTTTTCCTGAGAAGCTTTCTGAATGAGTGGTTTACAAACTATGTTGTCAACGGTAACAATATGCAGGGACATTTTTAAGTAAGTAAGTAAAATGTATTTATAAAGCGCTTTTCACAGACATAGTCACAAAGTGCTTGACAAAACATTAAAACATCATAGGAACCACAAAAGAATAAATGACCACACAAGCCACGTGTTAAGAAGTGCTAAAAACACAATACACAGTAAAAACACAATAAAAATGTAAGGTTTTATATGCCCAGCCTCACCTAGAGGGTCTGCACTGGAGGCTGCTTTGCTGACCAGACGCAGGCAGGAGGTGCTGGGGCCCGGGGCTCCGGGGGTCAGGGCCTCTCGGTGGGACGGGGACGGGGTGCCAGACTTGGACAATGGAGACTGAGACTTAAAGTCAGAAATGAAATATAACCAATAAAAATCATGGCTGATCTGTCCTGGGAGGTATACGGCTTATCTAACCTAAGCCCTCGTTTATTACGCTGACGTTCAGAATGATGATCACTCTCCATGACGGTGTTTCTGGCAAAGCTACAGCTATCATCCAAGTGGCTTGTCAGCAACATTTAATAAGACAATAACTATTTATTCCAAAACAGAAGAGGATTCAAACTCCCACTCCTTTACCAGATGTGATAGACACATTAATGCACCGATAATCATAATGCAGACATTTAAAAGTTTACGCTTGGTACTTTAAGTATATTATGATGCCGGCTCTCTAAGCCCTCTACTCTGGCTCCCTTGAGCTTAGACAAAAATAAGAAGGAAATTAAATAAAAATATTTGCATGACTATTTATAT